AGCATGGTTAGATGACATAATGGTCAAAACAAGAAGTGGTGTGAGAGTCCTTGTTTTAAAAATTAATTTTAAGAGGAAAGCACCATCAACTGATGAGTAGATAAAGAAAATGTGGTATGTGTGTGTCTGTGTGTGTGTGTGTATACATATATACACATGTATATATCTATATATGAATTTATATATTGATACATATGTAGATATATAATGCATATGTTCTTTGTATATACATATAAAAAGATTAGCATAATATAAAATGATATTTGTACTTACATAATATTGTATATACGCTGTTTCAGAGAAAGAATGAATTTTTGGTATGCTATGTTATATAATTTACAAAAGTGGAAGTTATTTATCAATGCACTTTTAAAATGTAAGTTGTTGAAAAGTAGTTTGTAGATTTGAGTTTAGTTCTTTTAGGATAAGAAAAACCCAGGTAAACTTACATAACATTTATTGCTATAAAATGAGAATCAGAGTGTTTTTGCTTCTAGACTCAATTCTACCAATGATGCTTTTTCATAAAACTAATCACCCAAATGCTCTATACTCTCACCATAAAAGGCACAAGGTAGAAAGTTTTACATGGCATTTTTTTATGCCGCCAATAAAATATTCTTTCATTGTTAACAAAGTAGCTAGTATAAAGAGTGATTCTCAAAACTATTTCATAACATGTGAGTTGTCTTACCTGCAAAATTAAATAGAATTATATCATGTAGCTAATGATTTTTAACATTTTTTCCTCCTCACACTATAGAAAGTATACTATACAAAAAGGTCATTAAATAATTGTTTTAGTTCTCATTTTAAAAGGCATTGAAGATGATCATTTCTTTGAACTCCTGAATTATTAACTTAGAATATCAATTGTATTTTCAAAATAGAATTTAGCATTTTTATGCTAAGACTAAGAATACTACAAGTTTAGCCATTTAGAAAAGTCAATTTAACAGATGCTTTAAAAAGAGACAGTAAAATCATAGAAGATGAAATTAGGTAGCAGCTATAAGTTCTCACATTTAAAGAAGAAAGGACAGAAATCAGAACTGCTGTCATTCCAAAAGATCACATTATTAATATTAACAAAACACTACTTTAAAGTATGGCTACTATTTTAAAGAAAAAAGGAGGGGGGCAGGAAGGAGGGAAGTAGAAATTTCTCCTGTTTTGTCTAAATCTAATTCAAGAGTGATAATTACTACTTGATTAGTTGGTGGAGGAAGCAGAGGGAATACGTAGTATCAGTGTTTAGAAGTCTACTTTATTTTAAACTGATATTTGGACACAGAATATTTCATTTGAATATACAAAAGGTGAAAGGCATAACTGTGTCCAATAATTGGATATTGCAATTAAAATGATCCAGGAATCAGATTCTAAGAAATCAGAACTGTTTTAAAGACTTCAGTGACTAGAAATGATCTGGATTTCAAAATAGAAATACTATGAAGATGATCTTTTGCATAAAGACTCAAAATAATTTAAGAGTTATAATGTGGAATCTTATCTGAGCCACAAATATAAAACCAGCCTATAAGTTACCAGTGAGGCCAGGCACGGTGGCTCATGTTTGTAATCCTAGCACTCTGGGAAGCTGAGGCAGGAGGATCGCTCGAGATCAGCAGTTCGAGACCAGCCTGAGCAAGAGCAAGACCCCATCTCTACTAAAAATAGAAAGAAATTAGCCAGACAGCTAAAAACATATAGAAAAAAAATTAGCCGGGCATGGTGGCGCATGCCTGTAGTCCCAGCTACTCCGGAGGCTGAGGCAAATGGATCACTTGAGCCCAGGAGTTTGAGGTTGCTGTGAGCTTGGCTGACGCCATAGCACTCTAGCCTAGGTGACAGAGAGAGACTCTGTCTCAAAAAAAAAAAAAGTAATCCCTAATATCTAAAACGTCAGAACCCTAGCAATAAAGTAAAACAAAGTATATTGAATATGTAACAAAGTTGAATAATACTTTGTAATATGACTTTGTAATCAAGGACTCTTTTTCTGTAGGTATTTTTAACACTCTTCCTCCCATCCCTTAAAAAGTCTACTGAAGTCCATACTCCTCTATGGAGAGAAAGAGCAAAAGAAGGAGGGAAAAGGCAGGAAGGAAAGATGAAAAGAAAGAGAAGTAATTCTTAACTCTATATACTGAGGTTGTACAAAATAACTATATGCACTACTGGTCGAATATCTTAAAAAGTTAAAAAGTCGATGTTCATACTAACATTGGTATTTGAGCAATTCAATTCACTAAGAGCAACAAGTGAAAAGCACAAGCAGCTAGTCTCCTATTTTACTAAGATTTATTTTTATTAAATTAAATTATTAATCTCCAAATAGAAAATTCCTTCCAGTTAGTTTTACATTCTTCACAAATAACCAAAAATAAAATTAAAATATACCTACCCACATTCTACCAGTAAAAATAAAGTGCCAGGGGTAATGGTCTTTAAGTAGTCTCCTTAGTCAGCCTACCACTAGGTTCATACACTACTTTGCAATGACAACAATCTAAGCCACTAAGTGTCTTAGTCATTGTTTCTTTAGTTTACAAAGAGTATTATTGGTAGTAGTATCATTATTGTTACTCAATAGTATTATGGATAAAAACAGCTTTTATATTTTGTAATTAAATAGAAAACTAACTATACCCATAGATAACAAATCCTCATTCGCTAGGACTTCACTGATGCACAACCTCTTTAGCAATTCTTTCCCCAAGGAAATTCACAGCCTTTCTTCACTACAAGAAATTTGCCCTAAAATATGAGTACGTAATTAGAGCATAAGAAATACCTTTATAATGCTTCCATTTTCTCTTTCTTTTCATCCACTCTTCCTATTTCATTTCTATAGAAATACTTTTCAAAAGCCCAAAGTTCAACAAGGGAAAAGACATCTTCTAAACCATACCACAACAAAATGTCCATGTATGTCAGAACGAAAAAGTTGAGAAACACTTTAGTAATGTGAACAGGAAAATCTCAAGATACCCACTTGTAGCAGAACCAAGAAGATTTTTTGATGATTTATCCTCCCCAGTATTATAATCCAGTGGATAATCTGTTTAGAGAGAAAATAAAAGTACTTATGTGAGAGCTAGCTCCAATAATATATTTAAAAACTCAAATTATGTCCTGTCAAAGTCCATTGACATTTAAAACATTTTATAATAAATATGAATTACAAGCTTGCAAAAAGAAAGTAAAATTCAGAAGCCATTTATAACAAACCAAAATACACCAAGGAAAAC